GCCTTGGCCCGCAAGTCCTCAGCAGCGCCTCGATTTCATCGGGCGTCAGCGTCCGTAAGCACGAACATCCACCGTCAAAAACTAGCACGGCCGGCCAGGATGGTCAGCAGGTAGGGTGAAGACCAACGCCATCGGCGCCCCCCACAGCAGCGCGTAATAGGGGGCCAGGACCATTATTCCCGACCCCGAGCAAGCAGCACGCCACAAACCCAGCGATGCCCCGATCCTGCATCTCAAAGATCCTGTGTTATCACCATCCCATTAGCAAACCTCACAATACCCCCCAAACCAAACCAAACCAAATCAAGGTCAGAAAAAACTCACCCAAACCCCTCCCCACCCCCCTCAACCGTATCGCTCAGTATCCTCCTCGCCAACTCATCATCAAAGTGATGAAACGCCAGATTAAACAGCCGAAACACCTTTTTCTCCCCCCCCGCACCCCCACCAGCACCGGTATACCTCCGAATCAGCTCCCTCGGCACATCCGCCGCGTCCACCGGCTCCGCCACGTAGCTGATCGCGCCGGGGGCGGCGGCCTGCGCGGCGGCCTGCGCCCACAAGTCGGCGTGCGGGTGCAGGTCGGTCAGGACGAAGTGCAGGGGCTCTTGCGATGCTCTGTTTCCGTTGGTTTGTTGTTTGGTGGTGGTGGTGTTGAGGTGGCGCTCGATGGAGGGCGTGGGCCCGCCGCCGCCGGCGCAGAAGTCGATGAAGATGTGGGAGTGGAGGTTGGGGCCGAGGTGGGTGCGTAGGAGGTGGGCGACGACTTGGGCGGGGGAGGAGGTTTGCAGGAGGGGGACCTGCGGATGGGGGTTAGTGGGAGGTGTGAAGGTAGGGAGGATGAGGTTGTATGTAGGTATGTGCATACGTGGGTTGTCCAGGCGGCTGTGAGGGCGGCTTGCATGTAGGCTCGGAGGAACGGAGGGAACCTGGGTGATGTTAATGTGAGAAATTGGCTCTGGGCTATTTTTCTTTCCGTTTTTCCCTGGCTTACCATGGCATGTCTGCAAACTCAAAAACATGCATCCGAGGTACGAGGGGTGCCATTTTTGTTGTATTATTCGTATTACCTAGTTAGTGAGTTAAGTCGCTGGCAGCGTTGTGAAGTGAGAAGAATTTTGCGATCCTGATTAGGCTGGGCCAATTTTTTGATTCCAGATGTGAAATTTTAGGGAAAATCAAGACCGATCAATCTTGCTTTTTTCGGCAGTCATGAGGTGTTTGAAGTTGTCATGACGTTGCTCAAGCGTGTACTGTGGCACTGTGTGATGTGTGAGTGCTGGAATGCTTGGAAACAGGTAATCCTTGCCCGCCAAGATGATGTACCTGCAGGGGTGTTTGAGTTGCACAGCGGCGATTGAATGAGCCTCAGACGGGAAATGTGCCATGTCAAACACCACCTACCACCCACCAATCTCACTTGGGACAGACCTCCCAGGTTATCTACTTCTCAAGACTTTCGCAGAACCACATGTTTTTCTCACCTTGCAGCTTTTTTCTTCATTTTCACCCGTTCCATCCGAACCCACTCCGTTCAAGTTTCACAAAACGCCGATGCAGCCATTGGCTCGCCAAAGGTACCTTGCAGGAACGCCTTCCTTCTCTGGTGTAAGATACGAGACGAATGAGCCAAGGCAGCTCAATTGAGTTGTTTCTGCACACAAACGTCACCGATTCCCGTTCAAAACCCCCCTGGATGTTTCTTTTCCTGAATCTAGCTCCCAACCTTTTGGCGACTGGACAACAACCGACGATATGGGGCTTGTTGTCGAGTATGGAAATTACCTTGTCGTTGCCGCTGCCCTAGCCATCCTCATTCGTGCCGTTTCCAGGCCGGGGAAGGCCATCACAAGGAACGGAGAGCCTTTGAGGTAAGAAATGAAGACATGGTCTCAAACACAGCACGAAAGAATGTATGGTAGGTTTTAAACCTCTGCTTACCATCGCCTAGGAACCCCCCAAACACTCTCCCTTTAGTCGGCAATGGCATCAAGTTTTTGCAGTCCCGCTGGGACCTACTCAGCTGGTTCGAGCAGTGCCAGCGCGAGTTTGGCTATGAGACGGCCGCTTTGAGCGTGCCAACACTACCCCCGGGAGTGCTCATCCATGACCCGAAGAATCTCGAGTTCGTCTTTAAAAATGAGGGGCTGTTCACAAAAGGTGACTTTGTGAAGAGGCGGTCGTGGGATCTGTTTGGTAGGCTTCTCAGTCTGCATCCGCCACATATGTCCTAACCCGCCATGTTGTGTAGGTAACGGTATCATCAACGCCGATGGTGATTTTTGGAAGTTACAGCGGAAGGCCGGCGTGGCTTTCCTCAACACGGCCAACCTGAGGGTGCTCACCGACGTGGCACTTCCTCAGTACCTTGCTGAGAGCGCCGAATACCTAAACTCCAAGGCCGACAAGGACACTGTTGATCTACAGCATGTCTTTCACGAGATTACCACCAAGCTAATGGGCAAGATGGCCTACAACGCAAGTGACCCGCTCAACCCATGATGCTCCCAACTAATGAAGTGTAGATGGAGATGCACGCTAACGACGAGTTCTCCCTGTCCTTTGACTACGCCTCAGGCATCACAGCCGAACGCTTCCAAAACCCCCTATGGCGCGTTACCGAACTCTTCACCGGTTCCAGATTCCGCCGGTCCGTAGCCGTCATCAAAAGCTTTGGTCGCCGCATCGTTACCAGCGCCGTAAAGGACCGGAACGACCAAAAATCTAACTCCGAGGCCGCCAGCGATCCAAACGACGATAGCAAGCTCGACGAAATCTCCGGCTCCCTAATCCAATCCCTCCTCGAAGCGCTTGGCGACGAAACAACCGTCGCCGACGCCGCCCTCACCTACCTCTCCGCCGGCCGCGACACAACCGGCCAAGCCCTAACCTGGACCTTCTACCTCCTCCTCCAACACCCCACCGCCATCACCAAAATCCGCGCCGAAGTCCAACACCTCCTCTCCCAACAACCCCAACCCCAACCCACCCATCACCCCCACCTCCACCTCCCCAATCTCCCACCCCCCTCCCCACACACGTTTTCACGCCCCCCCTCGCTCCCATACACAACCGCTG